ATATTTGTTCTTTGAAATCTAACATCCTTCTTGTAGTGTGATGACCAAAACTGAACACAATATTCTAGATGAGGTCTTACCAGTACTTCCACACTTTGTCTTGACAAATAGAAATGGAAACAGAAAAATCCACATACAGTAGTTAATCCAGTCTCATTTGTTAGTAGCTTCCAGCTCAATCCCCATGAGATATGTGTCATGCCCACCCTCCACCCTCACTGGAGTGCTGTGGAGTACTGTTGGGCACACCTCTTCCATCTGTCACTCAGTGCCAGTTGCTGTGGATATGCACTTAGACAGGAAGCTTGCTTCACCTGTGGGTAATCACCCCCATCTCCTGGTGATGCAGGCTATTCTATTTAGGGTCTGACCTGGCAGTGCATATCACTCTGTTAATGGTTTTGTCTTTGTTTTCCAATCACATGATACAGTCTTCTGTGTTTATTCAGTTTCAATCCTGTCAACCTTAGGTTTGGACTTTTCTTGTGCTTCACTACCATGTCTTCCTGGATCTGTCCTCTTTGCTAGACCATGACCTGAATGGTGTTTTTTCTGATCACCATTGCCTGCTCTTACAATAGGTTCATCTTATGACCCACAGACTCCAGCAGAGTTCCACCTAAAGCAGTGGACATTATTATATTTATATTGTATGTTTCCACTACCAGTATGAATTTATCTTATTAATGTTAAATGTCATTTAGCATGTGGGACAATGATTTTCTGTGCTTGACGCTCCCCCTATGTTTTTCCTCTGCTAATTTAAATGGTTTTCTACCTATAGTACAGTATGTCAGCACCTACATCAGGCTTAGATCTGAATCTAAGGAGCCTAAATCAGACATGAAACCTCTGATTTACCAAAACAATCACTTCTAGAGAATGGTATATTGTAAGGCTTTTATGAAGCTTAAGCAGACATGTAAAGTAAAAATGGCAAGACTTTTCATTAGTGCCTACTGAAGTATTTGTAGCATATGCCACTTGCACAGACTGGTTTACTGTTTTTATGAGGTTTGACTGCTCTCACACAGAATGAACCCAACAGTGTGACAAGAGAAACTTCATTCTGGTTGCCATGTAAACTAAAGGATTTGCTCAAGATCCCAATTGTCACTTTACAACAGTGGACCAATGCAGCACCTGTAGTACTGTAGTGTCATTGAAAATATACCTATCAAGGAAGCCAATATTTTCAATATTGAAATAAAGACCTTACTCAAGTGAGAGCTCTCTCGTGGTTTCCTTGATAGGTATATTTTCCATGACAATTTTGGCGATAAGGATGGGATCACAAACCTGAGTGCGGACGGCTGCAATTTTAGCAAATTGGACTGTCACGGACGTCCAAAGGGACCAACCGTGGGGAGCAGGAGAGCGGAAAAAGACCCATATGC